TAAAACTTAAAAGAATATTTAAAATTTAAAAGCTATTAAGTAGGTACATAGTTAATTAATTATATCTATTCGTTCTTTCTGTATTCTGTACCCTTTCACCTTTGGRTGGCTGTATTGGCTRTACAGTATAGGCRCACCATAAATATTTTGTACATTATTTTAATTTTAAYCACTGTACCAAGTTAGTACCGTATATTACCTATAGTAAGGACCCTACATGTGTAGTATTGAACACCACATTGTTATTTTAATGTAAATGATAACAACTATGTGTAATATACACATGTCGAGGCTTGAACAAAAAATTGTTACTTACATCTAAAGCCCTAAGCCTCACGTTAATCAGTTTTTCGGTATTGAACCATCATTGGCTTTTAAAATGCATATAATGTGTTAACACAAATTACTTAGTGCGCTATGAAAATAAAAACATTCAATATTATGATGTGTATCATTGTACAGGAAACCAAAAACAACTGCAGAAAACTTAGACGCTAACGTGGACGGTATACGATTAATGGACGGTCAAGCATCAGTGAAGGCAAAAGTTGAGAGTAACGTCGATCACCCGYTGGTGTCGGTGACGGGACCCGAAGAGACAACGCAAGGTAACCACGACAAAAGAGACGTTGATCCGACGAAGGCCTTTATCGTGGAACAGGAATTTGACGAGGTGGTGGCGAACGGCCCGTCGGTACAGATGAAAAATGATGCGTCAACGTTGAAGGTGAAGAAAGGTAGTGAGGCGATGGCGAAAGGTGGTGTGGCGACAGTGACGAAAAAAGGAAATGTATCTGAACGGTCGACGAGTCGTGAGGGAGGCAAAACTCCGACGACGGGCCAGTCCAAGAGCGGTAGAGCAATAGTCGAAGTATTGGATCGCGTGGACACGCCACAACCATCGGCCACGGCCGACGGCGATGTCGGGGTGGGAGTCGCCGTCGGTGGTCGAAACTTCGTTGGCGAACCGWCCGCCTTCAGTGTGTTGCCCGACGCAGGACGTGAAGACGACAGACCTTGTGAGTGTCCCGACTGTTGCAAGCGAAAACCACCGCGATCGACTTCGAGTAAGTGTTTCATATTTTAAAATTAAAATAATCCTTTATTATTATTTATTTTTTTATTTTCAACAGAGTTTTATTTTTATAATTAATTGGTACTTTTTAAAATAATCGAGAAAAATTAAAACAAAAATATGTAAAATAGGAATATACAATAATGTATGATATAATATTATAAAAATTAATTGTATATGACATATAATTGCATATTATGCCAAATTCAATATTTAAGGAGAAATAATTTTAACACGCCGCAATACTTACATTCATACAAACAAATTATAAAAAAGTGGAAAAGTGGATATGGCTTTGCTGTACAGTAGGTTACAAGTGGGTTACTGTAATGGATGGAATTAAATTTGAACCCACTGATARTATTACATCATTGTATACCAAAAACGATTCTGAGCGGAGACGGTTTATCTGTCTAGGATATATTATAGATTATTATTAC